TCTCCAGGAATGGGATACGAGGAGTCTGCGTTTTAATTTCTCTTAAATACTCCACTAAGTAACCGTTAAACACATGATCTTGTGATTAAACTGCCCATTATCCGTCCAACTTCCACAATCATCCGCCTTAACCGTTGTTATCTCATTAATTACGGTTTAAATTCAAATTTTTGGATTAATTAAATCATTTACTTCCCTCCTTTTCTGAATTAAATCAAACCCGACCCGTCATCCTTCCAAATCGGGTCAGGGGGGCAAGTTGTTTGGGTCCAATTTAGTCCAATTGGGCCTAGGCATTAAATGATCCAATTAAAAGCCCAAGGTCAAGGTTCAACTCTCCAATTGTGCTAAAGTCAAAGGTCAGCCCTCAAAGCAAGCCAATTGGGCTAAGGCCCAACCTCTCCATGTATGAAGAGGTATAAAAGCCATCAATATTCATACATTCATGGATATATTCATAGATTCATATATTCTCATATACTCAAATAAAGCCTCAAGCAACAAATTCTCTTGCATAGTGTTCTCTTTCTACACATTGTACTGACTTTAGCATCGGAGGGGCCTTCCTCGGCAACACCCCCGAGGCTAGTTTACGTGTGTTTACTGTGCAGGAAACCTTCGGCCCAACATAACTTGGACCGAATCCAGTCTTCTCCGTTTCAGCGGACCTTCGGCAAGGTCCCATTGTTTTCACCCGAAACAGATATTAATTTTAAGTAAGAGAATTATTCTTAGCAAGTAAATACTCCCTCCATCCCTAAATATAATTTCTATTTGACTTTTTACAGTCTTCAAGACGTGTTTTAAAACGTTTATATCTCTATTTTCATACACATTAAAATTATAAAAACTTGATATGAATAAAATATACAATGTGACAAATCCAACAAGATCTCACATGAACATTTAATCGAACGATTTCCCTTAATATTGTTAAAATAGAAATTAATTCCCATTATGCTTCTTTTTAAAAACAAATTCCCAAAGTAGTGTCCACATAGGATTGGTTTTCGGTTCAACTTAAAACCGCTAACGGTATTAGCGGTTTTGCAATTTTTGTAAAATAAAGTCAAAGAGACCTGTTTTTATTGAAAGGCGGTCTCTTTGAAGTTATAAGTGTAATTTCTTGTTGTGGGCTAAGAATTAACAAGAACACAAAGAGACATGTCGTATTGAAAGGCGGTCTCTTTGAAATATTTTTCCTAGACTATGCCTTGTGAATTAACCAAGGACGCAAAGAGACCTGTTATTGTTAGAGGCGGTCTCTTTTTTAAATCCGCAATCACCATTAGCGGTTTTAAGTTGAACCTAAAGCAAAAAAACGATCCTACGTGGACACTATGTAGGGAATTTATTTTTAAATCAATGATTATGGGAATTGATTTTTATTTCAACAATATTATGGGAAATCTCTCATTTAATCTCTTATAAATTAATAGGAATTTATGGTCAAAATTTTCAAAATTTGACCCAAATAAGTCAAATGAAAACTATATTTAGGGATGGATGGAGTATTATGCAATTAAAAGCTTGAGATAGAAACTCATCATTTACATGTGGGCCCTAAATAATGGTTTAGATAAAATTTAATTCTTTTAAATTACACTTTATTGTATGAAATAAAATTTATAGATAAGAAAAAAAATCCTACTAAAAAAGTATTTCTCACACAATTCAATATTAAATTAGTTCAATTCAACTTTCATTCTCAGGGGCAATGATACCCTTAAAGAGTCGTTAATGATATTGATTTCATGACTTTTAAATCATAAAGTCAAACGCTAACCGGTAGGTCAAGCTTTATATGAAATTAACCTACCATTTATTGTAGAGGTTTTTTGGCTTTGGAGAGTGTTCACATAAGTGTAACATTCATAAAAGAATGCTTGTAGCTCTCTTAAAAGGTTATTTTCATACATACAACATAGTCACTATAATTTGTACTTCGGATAACTATACATAGTGCTTTTTTAAATACTTCATAGAATTGATACATATGCTTTACGTCAAAAAAATTAAATAGTAAAAAACTAGAGCAAAAAAAAAACAGATACTCCCTCCATCCCTTATTTATATGGCTATTTCTAACATTTATTACTCACATAATAAAGAGAAATAGACATATAAATAAGGGACGGAGAGAATATTTATCTGGAATAGAAAGAATAATCCGTATTATGAAGTATTTTTTCAAGGGACAATGAATATACTAATCAATGGGTAAGTCATGGAATAAGCCCATTAGCGCTGTCCATGGTGTTGAAATTGGCTATCTAAAATTATAATTACACCTTTCAAGTTGGAATTCAGTAAGGGCCTTTTATAGTCTTCATTCATTCATATCCGTACCATTGTCTAATATCTAGCATTCTAGCCTTAACATTTGGGAACGGCGTATATTGAGTTGACCCATATCTAATGATGGACTATGGATGGTCAACACTCAATCAAAAATATTAAATAATTCTTCCTCCGTTTAATAATATTGCAACAATGGGACTTTTGCGGCATTATTCATCTTTTTTCTTTGACTATATAATATAATTTATACGTTAAGCAAAATATAGGCATGTGGGATCTTGTTAGATCCGTCTCATAAAATACTTTCACAATATTAAGTTTATATAATTTTTACTCTTATACAATTATAGATATTTAACATATACAATGTGTCTTGAGATGCGTAATTTTATCCTTGTTGCAATATTATTGGAACGGAGAAAGTACGAAGTAGTAATAATAATAATAATAATAATAATAAATAAATAATTAATAATAATAATAATAATAAATTAATATTAATAATAATAATAAAAAAAATAATAATAATAATATTAATAATAATAAAAAAAATTAATAATAATAATAATAATAATAATAATAATAAAATAAAAAAATAAAAAATAAAAAAATAAAAAAATAAAAAATAAAAATAAAAAAAAATAATAAATAAAAAAAATTATTATTATTATTATTATTATTATTAGTTATGCGGCTTTGGAGAACAATAATTGATCAACCATTAAATTTTAAAAAGCTCAATAAATATTCAAGACTAGATAGTTGTAAGTGTATACTACGTATAAACTAGTTTGTGAAAATACTTCGTAGGCTAATTTACTCACTATTCATTAATGGAGTTCTAAACCACTTAAACATGACTTGTAACTATCGAATGTCTATCACTTTATTTTTTTTATTTTTTTTTTGGTGCAAACTTAAATTGGTATTGTATAGTAGGTGTTTATTTAATTTTGATTTATGAAATAAGTTATCCACTAATTATTAATGGGGATATAAACCACTTGACATGGTTTGTATCTTTTGTAGGCGTATAGATTTATTAATGAGTATTATGACTCATTTTGTTTCTAATTTTTTGTTTCATTTTCCTTTTTGGAGTTAAAAGTTGATCAATTCTGACCATAAACTCTCACGTTAAAATAGTGCTGTATCAAATTATCGCTTTTTTCTCAAAGGTTCATCCAATTAATCTCCTTAATTTACATGTAAAGCAAATAAAGATTATATAATATAATGCATATTTTGCAATGACCATGGATGACATTTAGATACTAAACATAATGGTATAATTTATATCTTTATACTAATAATTTTTATCAATTTTGTTTACATAAAAAAAATACTTTGTATAATTATGTCAATTAGATATTCAATAGTTACGACTAAATATGTTTGATTTAATTACAAAAAATAGTGTGTACCCGTACGATGCCCTGTATTGTTAGTTTGTGTTCTTCTTTAATTTAATATATGTTTGAGTATTTGTATAGTTAGTGTGTGTAGTGGTTCGGGCGTTGTCTTGGGTGTCACTTTTTTTATTTTTTATTTTATATTTTACATCATATGTATTTATATTCCAATGTTGTGTAAAATAAATGAATTATATTACCTCTGTTTTGGAGTTTTTGGAGTCTCTCGGGAGAGTTACAATTCCAAGAATGGATGCCGACCGTCTGTACCTGCAAAACCATGGAAACTCCGGTTGGGTGGAGTTACGCCTCCGACGATCAAGTTAGTATGTGTACGGACGGAGTTAAAAGTGCGGAATGTAAAGAGTTTCTCTCGAATTCCGAGAGAGAGTATCTGCAATTAATATTGCTCTGGTTTGTGAGAATATTTCTGAATGTGCAATTAATGGGGATCTATCCTTATTTATAGGGTTTGAGGATCAACTCCCCTTTCATGACTTGGACTGCCACGTGTCGTCAGAGAAGAGGTTCTTTCAAAACCTCCCTGAGGCTGACACGTGTCAGCATGCTATTCGTCCACGTGGACCGGGGGTATTTTTACCCTAAACAGACGCCCTTCACAGGTGTCACCATATGAGAAGGCGAAGATTCGTCTCCTTCTCTCTCCTTTTTTTTTTTTTATAAGGCGACAGTTCGCCTTCTTGGGGATTTCTTCTATAAGTAGAAGTCCACCCCCCTCACTTCACACTTTGAGAAATTTTCTTAGAGAGAGGAAAAAGTGCTCTGAGACTGGCTGCCATTTCTTTCATAACCGCCTGCCCCTTCTTCACTCAAACGGCTACCGCTTGGGTACCCATTACTCAAAACTTGTTAGCACCGTCTGAGCATACTTTAATTGCTTCCCTCCGCTTTCAATACACCTACATCCGGTCAACTGTTTAGGGTATCATTAAGCAAGATTCAAAAAAACGCTTGGGTTCTTCAATTTTTGATTGCTTTCAAAGGGGGTACATCCGGACAACTAGGGTTGGCAATCGGATCAGGTCGGGTCGGGTTCGTGTTCGGGTCAGCTGATTTCGGGTCAGCTACCCCCTGACCTGAACCTGATCCATTTAACATTTCGGGTTGAAAACCTCAACCTGAACCTGAATTTTTCGGGTTCAGGTCAACCCGAATATGACCTGATTTGACCCAAAACTTTTTTAGGTCTTAAAAAAGGTTGATTTATTTGGGTTGGATCAACCCAGCCAATCTGATTTATTCATTCAAAAGATTATTTTTTTTCAGTTCATTCAATTGCATTTTAAATTCTCAAGCAAAACAGAGATTCAAACCCAAACAAAATTGTCTAACAAAACTACTTAATAGATTACAAACCAAGTAGTCTACTTAACAAATTACAAATTGAATATCAAAAGCTATAGTGATTTAAATAAAATCTTCAATTCTCTTGGTTATGCCCACCCTCCATAGTGGAATGAATCTTCTCCTCTCTGTAAAGAAAGATGGATTTGAGTAGCCGCAACTTGCTGCCATAAAAAATAACACAAACAATAATTAAGAACAAAATTTCGTATGTAAAACCGTATAAATACAACTATTGATATTAATTAGCATGATAAATTCGTATAAAAACATGCAAAACAACAATTAACAACAGAAATCATAACAAATCAACAACAATTTAACATAAAATAACAACTATTATTAGCATATAAAACTGTACTTTAGCATGACCAAACCGTATTTTTCATAAAACAAATACATATAAAACAACAAATACCTTGAAATGATGAAGTAGATGTTGAGAAGAAGGTGAAGTGTTTAGCAGAAAGTATAGATTGATGAAAATCCAAGGATTAGAGAGGAATTTAGGGGATGAAAAAGATTAGAGAGTAGTTTAGGGATTTAAGAGAGAGAAATTTTTAGAGAGAGAAAGGGTGAGAAGCGGCTGAGTGAAGTGAAAAAGAAAGGAGAAGTTTAGGGTTTTTGGTTTTAATAGGATGGCTCATTTTGATTTGGGCTGTAGGTTTTCTTTGGGTTTTTTTTATATATAAATAGATATTTTTGTTAACTTAAATGAGTTTGGGTTACCTATAATGATCTGATTTTTTTTTTCGGGTTATATGGGTCATTTTCGGGTTAGGATTTCCAACCTTAACCTAACCCATTTAAAAATCAGGTCGGGTTCGTGTCAACCCATTTAAGTTTTCGGGTCGAAAACCTCAACCCTAACCCGCTATTTTCAGGTCGGGTTCGTGTCGTGTTTTCGGGTCGGGTCAGATTTTGCCAGCCCTACGGACAACCTTCTGGGTATCTAGCAAGCAACAAACTGATTTCCGACTGCTGATTCAACTAGTCAACCTTCTTCACTTCTAAAGCTTCTTCAAGGTACCGTCCCTACCCCTTGCAACTCTTTTGAGCTTTTCCGGTTGTATGCTTTGTAAAGAATAATGGACTCACCCAACACACACAACATGGCCTAGGACAGTTGTCAGCCGGTTTCCTGATACAGCTGAGTCTAGGACTGGGGATGCCGTCTGGGGGTGTTTGGACCACCCTTTCTCTTCCACGAATCTGACTGTCTCTGTGCATGTGCAAGACAGGATGGCTCGGATGAAGCGAACGGTTTTTGACCCCGAGACGGCTCCGCAGAAGCGCCGGCTGATATAGAATATTTTGACCCTCCGGGTGCACCCAGTACACCCAGTGAAAATATTTTGGAGGAGTTTGAGGACGTAAGCGGTGATGAAACCGTCCAACAATCAGACTTTGAAGAGTCAATATCCTTAGAACCGGATGCCTTCCGAGAGGATGAGGAGGCGTACAAATGGCCCTCCATTAAGAACCCCACTGAAGCGAGCATGTCCGCCAAGGACATCGTTACTCTGAATGCCACCTTCCCCGCCTTTATTAAGAAATGTCCGGTTGGGGATAGGTGGGAAGTACTAGTGCAACCTGCAGAGGCAACCGTCGTCTAGGATGACGACATTGATAAAGCCGGCCTCCGGTTCCCCCTTCACAACGCCATCAGAGCTATATTGAGAGGCTATGATTTGGGCGTCTGGCAGTTAACACCCAATTCTTGGGTGAACATTTTAGGATATATTGCCGCTTGCGAGATGCAGAACGTAACGCTTAGCTGCGAGGCGTTTGCACATATGCACTACCTTAGCCGTGCCCCAGGTGGCTGGCGAGCGTGGTACACTTTGACCACTCACCCGGAATATATGATGACGCTTGACCAGCCGTCAAAATGGAGCAGTTGGAAAAGCAAATTTTACTTCGCCTCTTCTCCTTCCCTCTACCTGAATCGCCAGCTTCGGCACTATAACAGGGATCCGACTCTTCTAAGGAAGAAGTGCGCCCTTCCTCGCGTCCCGGAGGAGGCATATACACAAATAATAGAGGCGGGGTTGTTTGAGAAAACATCCATGCCCCTAGATGACAGGTCCGAGATTATTGTACCCAAGAATTGGGTACCCCATCCGGAATGGCTTAGGGATGAGGCTTTCCTCTCTACCTGCAGCCTTAGCACCTTTTTCAGCAGACGTATGTAGAGAAGTTAACCGGCTTTTTCCCGTCGTCTGTAATATTCTGAGTTATATTTGATTGAGTGTCTTTTTTTGGAGAAAAAGGACTAGAAATTGTTCCTCCTGAGAAGACACCAACTAAATCTGTTGCCCAGATCCGAAAGGACCAATTAGAAAAGAGAAGGGCCCAAATGGCGGCCAAGGACGATGGGGTAAGCTCCGGCTGAATCTTTTTTATCGTCTGTATAGTTTGATGTTAATTCAGATAGTAACCGGTTATATTCTGTTTCTTTTTCAGGCGGGGAGCAAAAATGTTCCTCGCTCTATCGCAAAGATGTTAAAAAGACCTGATGAGGAGCCTTCCCATGCTCCTTCCAAGACAAGGAGGGTTTCGGCTGTCCTCCCCTCCTCTTCTAAAAGGCCGCCTATATCTGGCAGGCCCACCTCAGCAGGCAAGAGCCTGAAGGACCTTGGCCTAAACACAGGGCCGATTGACCTTGAGGCAGCCTGCTGCAGCAACCGGTTCCAATGCTGCAAGGGGTAGGGTGACCCCTCAGCCTGAAAATGAAGGTATGGCTTTCACATTTGATCCCCCCTGGCCGCTTGGGCCTATATGAGTCAAGTCCCAAGCTACCCAATTAGGGGATTCCTCTAGCAGAATATAGGTGCCGCCTATGCTCGTTACTTAACAAATGACTATGTTGGTGCAGATGCCTCTTCCCGTTAGCCTGACCTCCAACAATATGCAAAGAGGATGCTGAGGACCCTCACACGGTCCGAGAAGGAGGCGGTGCCGGGTGTGCATCAGGTCAATATTGACCTCCTCAATGCCCTGCTTACTGAGGTAATTTGCCGGTTGGGATGTTGAAGCCAAATTGGCTCTCCACCGACTGGCATATAGAATGTACTTTTACCTTTTTGCCGGTTGTACAATAATTGAGTGACTAACTCTTTTCCAGCTGATTTTGCAGGTGATGCTGAGGGTAGACGGCCTCAAGGTTCCCTTGAGGAAGAAGCAGGAGGAGGTAAGGGACGCCAATAGGCGGGCGGCTGATCTCATTGATGTTACTCAGTACAACACATTGATGTATGAAATTAAAACTAAAAGTCGAGAGATGAAACAGGAGGAGCTTATCAAGGAGCTCACTGCGGCTGCGGAGACGGCCAACAAGAAGGCGACTGACTTTGAGCTACAAGTGAAAAACCTCCAGGTTGATGTCAAAGCATTGGGGGATGCTGACATGGAGAACACCCAACAGAGAGCAAACGTCTCCCGGTTGAAGGACAAGTTGGCCCAGACGCTGGCTGATCACAAGGCTAAGCTGGCGGTCGAGCAGGACCGGCTGGTCGCTAAAAATGAGCAGGACTGCAAGACTCGTATGAAGATGGCTTGGTCCCTCATCCACCCAGACTGCGAATGGGAGTTCTTTGAGCTAAGGTATAAGTACGCCATCGAGGTGTACGATGCTCAGGCTCTTGGTCTTGAGAAGCCGGCTCCCTTCGAAGAATGGGCTGGCATTGCAGATTAAGATCAGGAGGAGGAGCAGGCGGAAGAACGAGCGCCGGTTGAGGCTAATCAAGCCCAACCTCAGCAAACTAAAGATGCTCCTCCATCCGGCCAGGGCCAGACGTCTCAACCTCCCCAGCAGCAATGAACCTTGTTTTTTTATTTCCGGCCTGCGTGCCAAGTATTTCATATGTATTCTCTTTCCTCCGCGGACGTAGTTCTGGCTAACAATTACTTGATTACTTTTTTATAGAATTTGCTGACTAAGTCGGTTTTGACTATATTTGCCTTTGATATATTTTGCTTCAATTTTTGCAATTTTCTATCTTTTTGCAAAGTAACTTAGCATATGCGGTTTAACGGATGCATTGGCTTATCCTACCCCTGGATGGTTGTTTGCTTGGTAATTGCCCCCACCCTAAGCAGGCAACCGTCCAATCAAGCATCCGGATGAATAGAAAAACGGTCATTGTCCGTCTTTAAAGAAATTCCTCAAATTATTTTCTAAGTTGGAATAGCAGACGGTTTCGGCAACCTAGATTACTCTATAAACCGACTGTGATTTAGCCCTTAGGGAAATCAGTCTTTGCCGTTTGTTTAATAACAGGCGGCCATTGTCCATGTATAAGTGTCATAACCATGTTATGTTTTAGCTGCTAAGGCTTTGGCCTTGCTTAATTTTGATTTGTAACCGGCTGTAGTGCCTTTGGGCAAAGACCGTTTATATTTGACCAAGATATCAGTTACCATTTGTGTTGGCCCTTCTTAGAGATTATGACCTCAGGGAAGGTGTCTTTCGATGCCCGACCCTCATCCACTGAGTTGACCTCCAGCCTTCTGATGAAGTCCTTGGTGCCCCGGATGGTAGGACCCACTCCAGCAAAACCGCCTGCTATAGTATAGATCTGGTCTTCATCAGTGTCAGAGCTAATAGCAAGCTGGTCTGACTTTTTGGACGGCTGTCCATTGTTTGTTTTGAGGGTCACCTTGGATTTCAGAATGTAGGACTTCAGTACCTCTTTGTCAGCCAAAGGGTCCAACGACCGCCTGAGGCTATATAACTCGTTGGTGTCATGACCTATATCCTCATGGAAGTGACAATAGTTGTCCTTGTCCCGACTTTTGACATGACTTTTTATTGCAGCCGGTTTCTCAATAGTCACTCAGTCTCTGATTTCCATGAGGATAGAGTAACAATCCTTGTTGAACTCGTACTTGGGGACGTACGTTTCAACTATTTCTTCTTCTTCTGGGATGGCTGACCAAAATTGTCCGCCACCCCGACCTCTTTCCTTTTCTTGCTCTCTTCTTATTTAGCCGGCTGAGCTGACCGACTCTCTTTTTTGTCAGACTTTTTAGGGTCCTACGGCTGCTTGATGGAGCAGAGATCCGTAGCCTGTATATAGGCTTCGGCTTCCATCAAAGCTTCTTAGAGGGTAGAAACCCTCTTTCTGACCAGGTCAAACTTAAAGGTCGACCCGTCCTTCAGACTCTTGAGGAAGTCTGTGTAGGCAACTTCGTCAGACAACCCTTGAATCTGAATTCTCATCAAATTGAACCGCCTGACATAGGACCTTAGCCTTTCTCTATCTCCCTGCTGAATAGCTCCCAAGTTGATACTTTTCTTTTTGGCGGGGATATTCATAGAGAAGTTGGACGCGAACAAGTATACAAGCGTCTTAAAATTGTTGATGCATCCGGCTAGCAGATTGCCAAACCATCGTTGGGCTATACCCTTCAATGTCGCCGGGAAGCATCGGCACCATGCAGCGTCATCCAAACCCTGTAAATACATGAGGTTGGTGTATGCCATTAGATGGTTTTTCGGGTTGGTGGTACCGTCATAGGTACCAACCAACACATTCTTAACCTTGGCTGGCTGAGCAGCCTCGGTTATCTCCCTGGGAAGAACGCCGACGGCTGTTCCCCAAGGTTTAGCAGCCGGAGCTGCCAGTCCATTGGTTGGACATTCAATGTCGCCTGACCCCCCAAAAGGGCCGGTTGCATGTATGGTGATCCATATGGCATGTATGGTTGTTGGGGCACATACGAAGCCGACTGGATAATCTGAGGGCCAGTTCGTGCGGACATGTCGTGTGACTGACTCTCTCGGTTTGTTTCCGAATACCTCATTGAAGTATTCGGGAAACTATCTGGGTAGGTCGACGTTGAAGCCGACTCAGACAATTGTTGACTTCTCTTATGCTGGATTAACATCCGGGCATACGAGTAAGTCTTTTTTGATCCATCCGGCTGAACTTGCCGGATGACCTTCCTTTTCCCTGCTTTAGGGAAACAGAATTTTGATAGATTAATCATG